CTCCTCGTGGAGTTCCTAAAATTGATGTCACCTTCGATTTGGATGCAAATGGCATCTTAAATGTTGCAGCAAAAGAGATGAGTACTGGTAACGTAAAGAACATAACCATCAAAAATGATAAGGGTCGTTTGTCGCAAAGTGAAATTGATCGAATGGTAAATGAAGCTGAGAAGTATGCCGAAGAAGATGAAAAAGCGAGACAGCGAATCGCCGCACGAAATCAACTTGAAACTTATGTATTTAATGTTAAACAGGCCATAGATGATGCTGCTGATAAATTAGATCAATCGGATAAGAATAATGTGGTTGAGAAATGCAATGAAACCATAAAATGGCTCGATAACAACACCACAGCTGAGAAAGAAGAATATGAATATAGAATGGAGGAATTAACTAAAATTTGTAGTCCGATTATGACAAAGATGCACCAACAGGGCAAGGGCAAACCAGGCACAGAACCAACCAGTTGCGGTCAACAAGCCGGAGGTTTTGGTGGTGGCAACTACAGAGGTCCAACTGTTGAAGAAGTTGACTAAATGCCAAAGATTTGTAAATTGTAAATTGTAAACTTTAAATTGTAAATATTGTAATTTAGTGAAAACTTATTTTTAGATGTAGATGTATATGTTAATTTGATCTATCGATGAAATTGTATTACTTAAAGACTGTGTTCTAGTTTAAATATTTATTTTATAAATAAGTTTGTTAACTAAGTGTAAGTTAACTTTAAGTACAATATTTAGTTTAAAATAAAGTCTAAAATTTTTAAATTAAAATGAATTTATTTGTTTTATTTACTTAACTTGATTGGGAAGATACTTGATTTTCATTTTTGCTTACTAATTACAAATAGAAATAAATAAAAGTTTTGAGAAAAATATAAATATGTTTCTGATTTTTTGGTATTTTACCTATCCTAATCTATCAAATTTTTTATATCACTAATTTATTCGTACCTTCAGATAAGTCGTGCCATCAATTTGGTCATCTTTCTCAGTTCTATTTCAACTGCGCACTACTGATCTACTGATTTTTTGAATTATCTCTTGTTTTTGTTTTTGTTTTTGTTTTGAGGTGTATTTTGCTTCTATCCTAAAGTATCATCAACGTTCCAACCATTTGATATGCTATTATTTTCATTATATGGATGAAAGATTCTTTACATGATAGTTATTTAAGTTTGGAATTCAAACGAATATACGTTTTCAGTTTCACATCTCGGTATAGCTTGAGATTACGAAGTGTTTCGACTCAACTTTGGTATGTGAGAAAGCAATCCTTTTGAAAAGTCTGCCATACTTCACTTAAAGTCAGTGCGTACAGCATATGTTATGTTGTGACTACTTGCATGGCATATTCTATAAGATTAAAAATAAGTCTTATTACTTTTACAATGACATATCTCAGTTGGAAATTTGGCTGAACTAAATATTTAGCACATCCGGATTCGATGTATTCCGTTTAAGATAGAATACATCGCTAATCTGTGTATTGTTCATAAAATTTATGAAAAACAAAAATAATCTAATTTTTTTATTATCTACCGCCTCAGTAAATACATATATTGACAGTACTGTAATATTTTAAAACGCAACTGACTTTACTTTTCCACCGTGACGAAATGAATAATTTATTTTCCTAAATTTATCAAAGCCTTTTCAACTTAAGTAAGGTTACGTTTGGTTAAGAATATAGTACAAAGAGATTACAGATAGTTTTCAAGAGTCGTCGGGTGTACGTCCAGTAACTGTCATTCTTCATAGATGTGTTAGTGCCGTTTGATCATTAAAACGAATTAAGAAGAGAGTAACGTAGTACTGAGTTTGTTTTGCATACTGATGCGAATTTCTTCAATTTAGGCCAAGAGGATTTCCTGATCTGAAAAATAACTTGATATATCCAAACTTTCATAGCCAACCACATATATTTAGTTTAATTTCCACTTTAGCCAGTTTATTATTTTATCAGAAACTTGGATGGTAATCAATGAAGTGATGTAAAAAGAGCTTTCGTAGGGACGTAAACTAAGGATCGAATAATTTGTACTACAGCTGTCCTTCCTACTCAGAATTTATCCTGTTCAATAACAGCTGTATAGGAACAGCTATTACAGATGTGCCAAGTGTAGTTTTGATACCTGAGGTGATTATATTGGGTTGAAATAAGTAGTATCTTAAAAATTTTGACCAGACTTGCATCTCGCTTAAGATTTAAGAGGGAATTTGTGATAGCGTTAAGTATACAGTAGTAAAGGCACAGTCGATATCCACAAAATTATAATCTTTGAAGACAAAAAATTTATAGAAAAAGTGCTCTTTCCACAGACTTGCTTTTAGTATAAGTATGCTAAAGAGTAGAGTAATACTAATTGTATTCTTGATGTGGATGATAAGAAATTTGTCCTGCATTTTTAACAGAAATTATCACAAACTGATCAGTCTATGGTCAGTGGGTTTTGAGTGCGCTCCCTTCTCAACTTTGAAGTTTAATACTACAAGAGAGATTCTACAACAGCTGGTATACAACAAATAAATGATGGACTGTACATTCTCGTATATTTCTAAATCAGGATAAGACATTTCGTTTTTTCAGCATTTAGATCTACTATAAAAAAGTAATATTAATATTAATGACATTAGATCGCTAAGGATTTGTACTCAATGTCAGAGCAAGTGGAGTAGAAATTTTACAATAGCTGCAGATATACAGATAGCTCGTAGCTCGTACCTGGTAGCTGATAGCTGGTAACTGATAAATTATTTATTTATTTTAGTTAGTTTCAAACATAGATCTTAACATAGATCGTATCAATCAAAATCGTATCGCTGTACCTTTTCTATGATATAAAATAGGAGAATGAAGAAGTATTTTGCTTTCTTTTATCGTCAAACACAATTACCGTTTATTACTAACCTACGTCAATATGCGAAAGCTTGTCTGTTTGTCGTAGATTGAAAAATAAGCAAAAATGAATTGATAAATGAATTTGCATATATTGACAACAAATTGAAATTTGTTATTTTTATTTGTTATTTGTTATTATAAATGAAAATTTTCTCTTCACAAGTACCGTCGTAGCGTAGTGCCGTAGTGCCGTAGTTTCGTAGTACCGTAGTACTGTTGGTACAAAGCTGTGCGTCTCTGGTCGTAGCAATTCAATGGCAATTCTAGAAGTTGCTGTGACGTAGCGGGTCAATATACAGCGATAATAAAACCATTTCATTCATAACGTTTGTTTGGAAATTTCTAGAGGCAATGCAGAAAAACATATTCACACACATTTACATATTTTATATAAATAAGTTCTCTAATGCACTCTAATATTCCCTTTATAATATTTTAAGAGAGTGCTTGTGTTTGTCACGTTACACACACAATTATACTAAGCTAATATTCACTATTGTGCAGCTGGTAAAATGTGTGCATACACTGAACTCTTTAAATTTGTGTTTAAATTTGTCTTTCTCTTAAACTCTTCATTTATTGGTCGCGTATCTTGAACATTTGATTCCCGAATATTCTGTAAGTTTCTTGAAAGAGTATCTAGATACTTCTCTGAAATGTAGATTTTTGTATAAAAGGCGGTGAAAATTCGAAGAGCATCAGTTTATACAAAACATTTGAAGTGAAAAGATTGACTGAGAAGAGGAGAAGTCAGAAAGTTTTTGTGCAAAGTTTAAAAAGAAAGAAAACTATTCAAAGCAATATATAAGCAATATATATTAAAACTTAAATTGAATTGAATTGAATTAAAAATATTAAATTGAAAAATTACTATCAAATATCAATAAACAAGAATACATATAAAGAAAGAAAATGTCAGCAATTGGAATTGATTTGGGAACAACATACTCATGTGTCGGTGTATTCCAGCACGGAAAAGTTGAAATCATCGCTAATGACCAGGGCAATCGTACAACACCCAGCTATGTTGCGTTCACAGATTCTGAGCGATTGATTGGTGACGCCGCTAAGAACCAAGTGGCAATGAATCCAAAGAATACAGTATTCGACGCTAAACGATTGATTGGCCGCAAATATGATGACCAGAAAATACAAGAAGATATGAAACATTGGCCATTTAAAGTGGTGAACGACAGTGGTAAACCAAAAATTAACGTCGAATTCAAAGGCGAACAGAAGAGATTTGCACCCGAAGAGATAAGCTCAATGGTGTTAACTAAAATGAAAGAAACAGCTGAAGCATATCTTGGTACAACAGTGAAAGATGCAGTCATCACAGTACCTGCCTATTTTAATGATTCGCAGCGTCAAGCGACAAAAGATGCTGGTGCAATAGCTGGTCTTAATGTGTTACGTATAATAAATGAACCGACAGCTGCTGCATTAGCGTATGGGCTAGACAAGAACTTGAAGGGCGAACGGAACGTTTTAATATTTGATTTAGGTGGCGGTACATTCGATGTTTCGATTTTGACAATTGATGAAGGATCTCTGTTCGAAGTGCGATCTACGGCTGGTGATACACATTTGGGTGGTGAAGATTTCGACAACAGATTGGTGAATTATTTGACTGATGAATTTAAGCGTAAATACAAAAAGGATTTGCGCTCAAATCCAAGAGCACTTCGTCGTCTGCGAACAGCTGCTGAACGTGCCAAACGTACTTTATCCTCTAGTACTGAAGCAACAATCGAAATTGATGCATTATTTGAGGGTATTGATTTCTATACGAAAATAAGTCGAGCACGCTTTGAAGAGCTCTGTGCAGATTTATTCCGCAACACATTGCAACCAGTAGAAAAAGCGTTGACAGATGCAAAAATGGATAAGAATCAAATTCATGATATTGTATTAGTTGGTGGATCTACTCGTATACCGAAAGTACAAAACTTACTTCAATCATTCTTCTGTGGCAAGAGTTTAAATTTGTCAATTAATCCTGACGAAGCTGTCGCTTATGGTGCAGCTATTCAAGCAGCCATACTGAGTGGAGATAAGAGCAGTCAAATACAAGATGTACTACTAGTTGACGTTGCTCCGCTTTCGTTGGGTATTGAAACTGCTGGTGGTGTTATGACAAAGTTAATAGAACGTAATAGTCGCATTCCATGTAAACAAACAAAAACATTCACCACTTATGCTGATAACCAACCTGCAGTCACTATTCAAGTATTTGAAGGTGAACGAGTCATGACAAAAGATAACAATCTTCTTGGAACATTCAATTTAACTGGCATACCACCAGCTCCTCGTGGAGTTCCTAAAATTGATGTCACCTTCGATTTGGATGCAAATGGCATCTTAAATGTTGCAGCAAAAGAGATGAGTACTGGTAACGTAAAGAACATAACCATCAAAAATGATAAGGGTCGTTTGTCGCAAAGTGAAATTGATCGAATGGTAAATGAAGCTGAGAAGTATGCCGAAGAAGATGAAAAAGCGAGACAGCGAATCGCCGCACGAAATCAACTTGAAACTTATGTATTTAATGTTAAACAGGCCATAGATGATGCTGCTGATAAATTAGATCAATCGGATAAGAATAATGTGGTTGAGAAATGCAATGAAACCATAAAATGGCTCGATAACAACACCACAGCTGAGAAAGAAGAATATGAATATAGAATGGAGGAATTAACTAAAATTTGTAGTCCGATTATGACAAAGATGCACCAACAGGGCAAGGGCAAACCAGGCACAGAACCAACCAGTTGCGGTCAACAAGCCGGAGGTTTTGGTGGTGGCAACTACAGAGGTCCAACTGTTGAAGAAGTTGACTAAATGCCAAAGATTTGTAAATTGTAAATTGTAAACTTTAAATTGTAAATATTGTAATTTAGTGAAAACTTATTTTTAGATGTAGATGTATATGTTAATTTGATCTATCGATGAAATTGTATTACTTAAAGACTGTGTTCTAGTTTAAATATTTATTTAATAAATAAGTTTGTTAACTAAGTGTAAGAGTGAACTTTAAGTACAATATTTAGTTTAAAATAAAGTCTAAAATTTTTAAATTAAAATGAATTTATTTGTTTTGTTTACGCAACTTGATTGGGAAGATACTCGGTTTTCATTATTTATTACTAAATACAAATAGAAATGAGAACAAATTTGTGGGGATTATATAAATAATATTAATAACATTAGTTTAATTATCATGTTTTGAGTATTTTGGTATTTAAAATCGAATTCAGTCATATTTTTTGAATAAGTCTTTCAACGTTTGTATAAACTGTGTAACAGAATATTTTTTTTGCTATGGCATTAAAGTTAACATTATTATATACAATATTGAAGTAATTAAATTATCTCTTTCATAATTACATATTTCCTATTAGAAATATATTTAAGATTTTATTTTACAATCATCACTCATCGTGGCAGCGTGCCTTATTTAATATTTTTGATTTATTGATTCGGATTTTCATGTTTATTCCAATCCAACCAGGAACCTTTATAGTTTTTAATATTTTTATAGCCTATGCTTAAAGCGGCTTCTGCAGCTTTTTGAGCGCGTACTCCTGACTTGCAAGAAAATATAATTTCAGTACATTTCCGTGGTTTATCGCGTCCATATTTTGCTTTGAATTGTCCAGGATCAGAATTCGATAATTCTTCAGTTACAATTCCCAATGGAATATTTATGCTTGTAGGTATCTTGCCAGTTTCGCTCAATTCTATGGCTTCCCGTACATCAATTAATAACTTCTCAGGATGCGTTGGTAGTTCTTTAATTTCTTCATATTCAGCAATTTTAACTTGATTATTGGTACAATAATTTCTGTTTTGAGAGTTTTGACTACCAATGTATTTAAATTTATTTGGACAATGAACTATGAAGTTCCTTAGTATTAAATTATTGTAATTGTTTTTATAAATATTTGATAAATATCTGGTAGCCAAGAAAGCCGTAGACTGGCAAATTTTTCTCGACATTTTCACAATTTATTTCAATTTGTCCTTGTTATTAATTATGCAATAATTGTAATTCATCTGAGAAATACTAGTTAGTAAATAAGTAATTAGTAAGTACGAAATCAGCTGATATTTACCAGGGTTGCATGTGATTAAAACACACAAGGCGATGCTGGTTTTAAAAATTTTTATTTGTGTATTGAATTCGTTTGGAATAAATAAATTATCATTGCTTTATTACATTAAAATAAAATTCCACATTTTTTTGAAAATGGACATTTCGACTAATAATTTTCATTTATTATACTCAAAGAAATAAACTTCTAAGGTTCCAAGAAACGACAAAAAAATTGATACGTAACTCAAATGACTGATTTGGGACAAAAATCACAAATGAGAAGCAAAAAACTGATTTCAGCATACAAAATCCCATATGTGCTAATGAATTCCATTTGCTGATTTTGTACAAATGAGTTCCAAATACGATTTAAAAAAAGCTTTTCATGCCATTTTGACAGCTTGAGGAAGCTGTTTTTGACATTTTTACAAAAAAAGGTGATGTGCGTGAAGATAAGTCCAAAATGGAATTGAAACATTTTTCGCCACATGAAAAATGCGGTATACTCTAATTAAGGAAAAATTTATTATTTTATTAAAATTAATGCGGTAAAAAGCATTTTTATATAAAAATTAAATTAATTTACTATTTCCATCCAACTTTTATGTGTAAATGATGTAATTTATATGAAAAAAGAAAAAAAATAATCCTAAAAGATGGAGTCACTAATTTATTAATAACTTTTAAACTAGAGATATGATTTTTCTTTTATAACTCATTTGAAAGAGAATAAAATCACCTTTCATACAATGCAAAGTTTTGTATAATTTGTTGAAATAACTTAAGAGCAATGCGCGGTGAGGGAAGAGATGCCATTTTCAAATATTAATTGATTAAAACTTTATTACTTAATCCAAAATTATGAAATAAAGAGCATATAACAGTAAAAAATATGTTTGTTTTTCTAAATATAATCGGTTCTTACTTAATATAGAACAAATTTTCCTCAAAAAATCGGAAATAAAATTTTGTAAAAAAAGGTTGCATTACACAATTAATTATAACTTTAACATCAGAGATACCATTATTCTGCAAATTAACTTAATTGAAAGAGGAGACTTCAAACTTTCATTTCGTATATTTATATCTATAACCCTTTCGATTAACTTCAAAGTTATTGAGTGATATTCTCTGAAAGATATTCTCTGATATGCATATTAGGTTTCCAACTTAACCAACTTAATATTTTTGGAAAAAGGTATTGAAGAGAATTTTTGATTAAGTATAGCAGAAGAAAGGATATTACTGGATACAAAACAACAACGAAGTTGAAAAACTAATTCCAGATGAATATATTAGTGAACCTAACGTATTCCTTTATAAGATCACACATGCAGGACGACGAGTAAAAGAATATCGAAAGAAGTACTACTTAATTGAAGAGAAGAAAAACTACAGTTAAGAACAATTGCCAACAACAACTTTAACTTTAAAAATAACAACAAAATCCAAAATCATCTAAAGAAAATTTATATTATTTAAATAAATAAATTTAAATTAAATAAATATATATTATTATTATTAATCTATATACGTTTTTGATGGCATAATGATTTTCAGTTTGGAAATTGTATTTTTGTTATAAAATACTAAATCCGGATTTTGTATGTGTTCTGTCTAATTAAAAAATTGAAAAAGTCTGCAAGAAATAATTTTCAAAAATCATACGATTTTTATTCAAATAGAACCCGGAATTCGTATTATAAATACCGGATCTCTAGCTTAATGAATCTCTGAAACTTTTACAGCAAGCGATTAAGGTGTGATCAATATTTTTAATAAAATAGTCCATATTGTAGTCACTTGTAGCTTAACGAAGCAGAAATAGTTTAATGAACTTGATCAGCTATCTTATCAATTTTTTTCCATACATAACAAATGTTATATATAGACTAAAATATTTAGTTTTTTTTGCCGGTACAACAACCCACACAAATATAAAAAATATATCGTACGATGAACTAATTTCAGGAACAACCAATTTAAATCACAATACAGACATATGTATATATATGCTACACGTTATGAGTACAGATTTACATTACTTATGTAGGTAGCATATATTTTAATATATACATATATATAATATATGTAATTTGTATATATGTACACACATAAATAGGGGACAATTGGAGATTATTAAAAGATTTTATCATTATCGCAATTTCTTTCAATATCAGTAACATATATATATATATGTATATATTTATATATATAGATATTTTTATATATAGATATATACTTACAAAAATGTGGTGACAAATTGAGCAACAACTAAATAAAATTGGGTTAGCAGAGCTATAAGTTGAGAGACACTTAAATAAAATATTTGTACTTAAATTCTAATCTTCTTATGAAAAATGAAAAATCCCTAAATTATTACAATAAATTAAAATAGTAGACTGCTCGTCTAGAACTTTTCACATAAGTGCAAGAGTAAATATAAATTATTATCACCTAAAAGCGAATCAGTTTCAATAAACAGAAGGCGATAGAATATAAGATTTTGTGATATCTTTGCTATAAATACAATCTCAAGTAATTATCGCAGAATTTTTTCTGAATCAACAAGTTTATTGACATTAATTCTTCAGTTATCTTCAAATATTTATGCTATAGGAATAAAGCGCTAAGTCTCCAAGAGTATAATTTCCGCATATTATTGCTGTTGTTATAACATAACCAGGAAACCTGTTTTTGAGTCCCTATTACGGGGAATGTCCGTTAGTTGGTAGTCTAGAATAATGAATGGCCCAATGCATCGTTAGCAAACTAACAGGTATATCTCTTGCATCAAATTTTTACATAAATCATTATAATGTTCTTTAATTTACCATTTTATTTTAATATGCAATTAACTTTTGGTATATAAACATTAATAACTAATAATTTATCTAACTGAATAAGTAATAGTTACTAGTCAACTTAAATCCACATTCTGGAACACTAAAAAGTAAAAAGGAAAGTCTGTTAAGCAGTCTTCCTGAAATTCTGACTACAACTGAAATCACAAGCCGTATAATCGGAAAAATACCTGCAAATTATAAATTAAAAGTAAAATTTAACTCAAACGAATTCGAATAACGATTTTTAAACAATTTTTTATTTATTTTTACAATTTCATATAACAAAATAAAAACTTACATATAGAATATATATATATATATGTTTTCCTAAAACAATACAATAAAATATTTTACATATGGACAATACATAATACGATTTATCAATACATTTTAATAGTTAAAAACTTAAAAATAATTTGTAATTACTTTAATAAATTTAAAATATCTAAAAGAAAACCTTCGTAATCTATGTAAAAATATTTAATATTAATAGGAAAGATATATGTAATTGTACAAGTAATTATTTTTCTTCAAATGGCACAGAGTTTTTGTAAGACACAAATTTTTTTACTTTCGATTTTATAAATTGTAGTGTGCATTTATTCCTTAAGATTGGGCAGACAAAGACGAAGTCAAATCACATTTCATTTCTTCACTCTCCTCACACTCCAGATTATTATTTCTTTACAAAAATTTAGTTTAAACAAACCGAAGTTTTGTAAATTTAAAATTTCATTTTCATTTTTTTATGAAATTTCCCAAAGGTTCACCCATACGTATTTTCTGTCCAGCTTTAATATCAAATTTAAAATTTTTTGGTGCTTCAAATATTAAAACGATGGTGCTGCCCATATTGAATTGACCAACCAAATCTCCTTTATCTAATTTAGAATTAGTTGGCAACGGTATTTCATCGAATTCATTAAATTTTTTATGAGCACCAACGTTTAAACCAACCCAACGATTAGTTTTCAGTTTCTCATCCATATAAATTTGCACAGATCCTACATTAGTTGCACCAACGGCTGTGTAACTAAAGAATCCATGTTTCCATTCACCCAAATATAAAGCTCGTTCATTTAAGCAAAACAAACCAGGCAGCCAAGTAGCTACTTTTGGACTAACTGATAGCAGTTCACCACTAAAATGTCTACGTAGAGTTGGTTTCCAATCAGTGGGCGAATGAAAACGATGATAGTCACCAGGTGCTAAATAGATAACACATTGATATAGTGCAGTGGAGCCATCATTTTTATTTTTAATATATTTTGCATAATCATCACTGGACGTTTCCGTTTTCCATGAAGCTGGGCCTAAAAAGGATTCTATTCTATAATTTACTCCCTTCACTTGCTCAATAACTGAATTTGTTGCTTCACCAAAGTGCAATATTTTGCCATCTGCTGGTGATATAAGTGGCGCTGTCTTATCTATTACACGCACTCCGTCTCGCAGAGGGCGCGTAAAAAATTCCGAAAGATTATTGTAATGTTTGTAGTCGGTATATAGCGCCTCTTCCAAATTGACATTAAAAGTATTCGTATACCAACCGTACACATATGGACGTAGTGATTCCGGTAAATAACAAGCTGCTAGCCAACCCCAACAGCGACTTAAGATTCTCAGTGGCAGTGAGCAATACACTTTCGATTGAAAATTTGAAGCAGTGCGAGGAATTTCCTGATTTTTACATTTTTGCTTATGTAATTGCCATTCAACTGCACCAAAAACGCATAAACCCACAGGAGCCCAACGAAATAGAAACCCCGTCCATTTACGCAAAATATTACGTCGACTTTGTTCGAGCTCTAATTGGCTGCCTCCGTTATAAACTGATGGTTTATTTGATGTATTTCTCATCGGAATTTCAGATTTGGCTACTGATTTTTGTTTTGAATTTTTTAGAGATTTTGTAGAGAAGCTTTGACGAAATTGGCGCAGCATAGGCCATTTTTCTTGGGCCTGTTGATGTGGTTGTTGATGTTTCTGATACGATTGTCGAAAATTACCAGATTTCAGAAAAAACCTTCCACGCGGCACAAAATAGGAAACCATTTTGAATAGGCTTGAACTTTTGCGTTAAAAGAACAGAATACGTAAGTCGTAAATGTTCCTAAACTTAAATAAATTACTCAAAGTATAATAAACAATTTAAAAATAATTACTTTTTATACAAACAAAAACACTTATTAAAGAACTTATTTTAAGCTTTTTTAAATTAACGAATCGACTATTCCGTCCAAACAATCAAAACAAAGTGAATTGTGGTGGAATTATTTTCATATTAAGCAATAACTTGTATGCTTATCGTTGTTGCTCTTTTTGTTTTTGTTTCAGTTTTCTTTAACTTTTCAAGGTTGTTTTAATTAGGAGCTTTCTGAAACCAATTTTAAGATTTTGCAACCAAATTTAAAACACAGTGCTAACAAAGAAAATTTATTACTATTATTCTGACGAATTTAATGAGTAAAACATTTTTTAACTCTTCGAAATTCAACAACAGTTTCTTGTTAATGGCCACTCTCTGTGCAAGTAAATAATTCTGAATATATTATATTTTATATGAAATGGTACAAAATTTATATATTTCATCAGTATAAACAATAAAACATATTCATATAACTTAAATGCTAACACATAATTCTAATTAAGCAAAATAATTTTCAACTTATAGCAAAACTGTATATGTAGCTGTTCTACATAGCATTTGCTTCATAAAAGCCTTTTGTTAAACATTATTCCTTATTATTCATTATTTATTCAAAAATTTAATTTTCCCCAGGGCTGCATTCCAAATTTTTGCTAAAATTACCGATATTTGGAAAAATGTTTATATCACGGCAAATCAATTGATGAATACATATAAACATAATTAACAAAACTTTATTATTTCATATATAGGAAGTGGGACTAATTTTTACACAAATTACAAAAATTTCGTTAAATAATACTTGAACGCCCTGTTACCGATGAAATTTAATTACAAAATAACATTCAAGGGTGTTAGACAGCAAACTATGATTTGTTTCTTCTTTGCTGAAACGGTGAAGATCACAAATAAAAATAATCGAAAATGCATCATATTTGCTAACTCTTTATTTGTTTACAAAATGTAATAAATTTTACTTATCACTCATTGTTTTCATGCGTTGTTTGTTTTTTATTCTTAGTACATCATATTATACAAAAAAGTCAAGTTAGTTAAAAGTCAGCACAGGTAATAAACGCATGTAATAAAAAATACCATTTAATCAAATACATGCGACCAAATAGTATGGTGACATTTTGCGTCTACACTGGCTAGACTTTGTCAAGAATTTTGCTTTCACTACTTTCTTACCAATTTATTACTTTTTATTATTTTTAATTATTATTTTTATTTAATTATTTATTATTTTTTACATTATTTGCAATTACATATTTGTAAAAATATTCCAATTTACATTATTTGCAATTCAGATGATATATAATAGAAACGCATACAAATTTTAGATCAGAAGGAAACCCTGCCGCATACATACATATGTATACGTGATTACCAAATAATACTTGCACTTATATTCTCTGGCCATAATTATTATTTACTTTTGTCAGCTGTTGGAGAAGTTTGATTTGTTGAAGTATTAATTGTGAACAAAAGTAAAATATATTTAAAATGAACGAGGAGGGCAAGACACCCGTATCATTTGCTTGCCAAAGATGTTTGCAACCTATTAATATAGATGAAAATTTGGATAATATTGGAGATTTGCAACATGCTGAACTTTTATGTATGTATTTCAATATATGATTAACCAGCCTTAATAGTTTACTCATCATAATTATGTTGTCTTACTTAGTGCCAATTTATTCAAACAACGTCAATACCATTGACTTGCAGCAAGATGTGAATAGCTATGATCATTTCATTCCACCGTATCACATAACAGATTCATTTAATGGCACGGGCTTTATGCTTGTCTCTGATGGGCGTGATAAAAAAAAACTCAGCGATGCACTTCAATTGCAAGCACAACTATTTGATTGTTTGTCTTCTAACTCGGAAATTGACCACCCTTTATGTGAAGAATGTGCTGACAGTATGCTGGAGATAATGAATCGTGAATTAAAAATAGCTGAAAATGAATACAATGATTATAAAAATTATTTAAAACATTTGGAAAATGATCCTGAGACACCTAATGTATCAGAGTTAGAAAAAGAATTAGCCGAATTAAAGGTTACCGAGGAACAATTGTTATTGGAGTTAACTAGTCTAAAAGAGCAAGAACAAGCTTTAAATAAAGAAATCGAAGAAGAGGAATTAGAAAAAGAAAAATTAAATGAACAAGAATCATCATATTGGCGAGAGTATACAAAGCACCGACGTGAATTAATGCTTACAGAAGATGATAAACGAAGCCTTGAATGTCAAATTGCATACGCTGATCAACAACTAGAAAAGCTTAAAGATGCTAATATTTTTAATATAACATTTCATATATGGCATGCTGGTCATTTTGGAACAATAAATAATTTTCGTCTTGGACGACTGCCCTCTACATCAGTTGATTGGTCAGAAATAAATGCTGCTTGGGGTCAGACAGTATTGCTACTTTGCGCTTTAGCACGTAAAATTGATCTAACATTTGAACGTTACCGTATAGTACCATTTGGTAATCATTCATATGTTGAAGTACTGGGTGAAAACCGTGAGTTACCGTTATATGGAACTGGTGGCTTTAAATTCTTTTGGGATACCAAATTTGATGCGGCTATGGTAGCATTTCTGGATTGTCTAACACAATTTCAGCAAGAAGTAGAAAAGAGAGATAAGGAATTCCTATTACCATATAAAATGGATAAGGGCAAAATTATTGATCCATCAACCGGACAATCATATTCAATAAAGTTAGTAGATTTATATACATTTTTTAAAGAAAAATACATTAATATTTTTTTTATCGTTTATAGAATTCAATTTAATTCAGAAGAACAGTGGACAAAAGCACTGAAGTTTATGCTCACTAACTTAAAATGGGGTCTAGCTTGGGTATCTTCACAATTTGATAACAATTCCTAAACTTTTTATTATATTATTTATAACTTAATATTAAGCATTAGTGGTTATTATAAACTAAATAAGTGAAATAAATATAAAATAACTATATAACTAACGAGGCATTACTCATTTTTAAATTTTTAAATATGTTCTGTATTTGAACTCAATCTCAATATTGGAGGACTTGAATTTTAAATTTAACTACAATATTGTCAAACAAAAAATAAAATAAATATTTACATTAGGCAAGTGATATGTTCAAAAATTTTAGAATATAATAAATTTAAGATTAAATTCCAAAAGATTTTTGTAGTTCTTAACGCACAGACAAAAGAAGACTATAGTTTCTACCACTCTTTTAACAATCTCATTTATTAACAATCGCAGTTTAACAACAATAAAAAATTATGTTATTGAATTATTTCATGGAATGAATAAATTGATCACGAGCAAATATATTACATTTCTCTACAATCTGATTTATTCAATATTATATTGATTTATATATCTCATAAGATAGATAGTCATTAAAATTTGACCAATTCGAACAAATATATATATTACTTTTAAATTTACTTTATTTAAATATTTTATGTTGATAGTTTTTGTTTTTTTTCTGGTACAGTATCTTCGTCTTCAGAAGTGCTATCAGAACTTGATATATCATCGCCAATCCATAATGCTGATTTTTTATTTTTGGTTGTCGTTGTATTGACTTTACGTTTAATAGGCACTTTTTCTGTGTCAACATTTTGTTGTTCATGTGCTTTTTTTAGACCTTCTTCCACAGCATCGTTCACCTTATCTGTCATAGTTGCACGAGTTTTCTCGTAGCATTCGTCCTTGAACTCGTGTTTAGGAACAGACAATAACTTCTCTACTTTACGTTTCTTTCTCTCCTCTGCTTCTCGCTCTCGTTCACCTTGCTTTTCCAACCAGGCTTTTAAACGTTTTTCTTCATTAATATCACGTAAGCGTCGACCGCTTAAGTCCCTACAAGCTTCTCGGTTCGTTGTTTTTTCAATCTGTGCTCCAATGGCCCGTAACATAGATCCGAATCCACCTTTCCCACCCAATAAACGCAACTGGCAATGTATGTTGCCCTCAGATAAAATGTCATCATTGCATAGCTTTTTTCCATTTTGAATTAAGAAATATTCATTCCAATGCAATGCCTTAAATAAAAAAGTAATAAAAATAAAGTGAAGATTAATTTCACCAGCTTTTGTCTACTCGCACATAATAATGCGCAGTGTTTATTAAAATAATTAAATCATGTTAAAAACTTACGAGGCAGTCAGCTATACATTCCTCAATTTGTTTAATATTTTTAAAATCTTTTTGGCAAATTTCTATATTATTTAATAGCACTTTTCCCATTTTAAAGTGAAAAATACAATAATTTCAACACAATCACTGATTATATGTTTACTATCTGCTTGGGTTTGCTGTGCTGTCAAAGTGAAAATGCAACCCTGTTTACAAACAAATTACTTAAAACAATAAAAACAAGAAATACTACATGTGAGTTTTTATGGAAGAATTATTTGAGTAACAAATATTACAAAAATGATGTCTTCACACGAATCAAGCGGTTCCAGTTCCGAAGATGAAACTGAGCAAAGGGTAAATGAATTTTGTTCTTTTATAGAGTCAAAATCTAATTGTGTCCTTGAAAAATTTTAGAATCTAATTCGAGAAGACCTCGGCAATATGACATTTGAAGAAATATTAAAACTGAAAGAAGAACTTGGTTCTAAAGTATACAATGAAGCTATCTTAGGTCATAATAAGTCAATAAAACGAAAAAATGTAAAAAACGAAGACCATAAACGATTGAATAAAAATAGACCAAGGGAATTGTCTTCAAAGAGACAGGTACCATTTTTAGGAGCTGAATTACGAACTCAACCTAAAAGTGACAAAGAATTGCGTGACCCACGTTTTGATGAACGATCAGGTACATACGAAATAAAACGTTTCAAGGACAATTACAAATTTTTAACTAAAATAAGAAAAAATGAAGTAAAACAGTTAAAGAATAGTTTGGCGTTAACAGAAGATGAAGACACTCGAATTAATATGAAAAAATCAATGCAGAAATTAATAAATAAAAATGAAGAAGAACGGAAATGGCATGACAAACAAACAATGCTTAAAAAAGAGAAAATTGAAATCCAAAAGGCACGCGTAGCAGGTGAGCAGCCACATTTTGTCACCAAAAGTAAGTTTAAACGTAAACGAAATATTAAATTGATTTGAACACTCAAAAATTGTTTCTTATAGAGGAACGGCGTACCAAGGAACTTGTACAACAATTTGAGCACCTTAAACAAACTGGCAAATTAAACAAACATTTGGAAAAGCGGCGCAAGAAAAACATGACCAAAGATAGGAAAAAGCTTAGTTTAGAGTAGTTTATTACTTTTGTACAAATTATTAATAAAATTTAATATTTTTAGCCAGTACGTAACATTTTTGCATCTCGTTTTTCTTGCAGTTCCCTCCGTTGTTCGGCAACAACTTCTTTTCTTTCTTCTAAAAATTGTGCATATTCGTCTGCGTTTAGGTCACGTACAATTTGTATGCCACAAGTACGAGCTATTCCCACTAACATCGCACACATTTGCTATATGAATATATTTCATGGTATCAATTGTGATATTAGAGATTTATTTAAATTTGAACCAACCTGCATCGTTAGAAGAGAATTTGGACGATCTTGTATTTTAATGGCTGCTATTTCGTATAAATGTTTTAGAGTAATTTTTCCCGAGATTTCTCTGCCGGGGCTCATTGCACCTTTTTGTATGCCGGCAGCTTGCTTAAGGAAAAATGTTGCGGGGGGTGCATTCATAAGAAGGTTATAACTGCGATCACTATTTACTGATACACGACAAGGTATCGGAATGCCTTCTTTGATTTCAGCAGTGCGTAAGTTGAAGTCTTTACAAAAAGTTGCAATATTTATTGCACGCTGTAAACACATAAGTTACAAATTAAAAATGTTACGCATATTTTGTTGAACTAACCTGACCCAACATAGGACCAAGTGGAGGCCCTGCAACTGCCATACCAGCCGGTATATTAGTTCTTAATTTAGTAGTATGTGTTACTTTATCTACAGTTTTTTTCAATCTGCCTGCAGCTTTCGACATTATAATTTATTATTTTCGTAAAAGTGTTTAGTATTATATTTATTATGCAAACCCACAAAGTAACATGAAACAAACAGCTGTTTTATGGATTATTAAATGCTGCCGTAGTTCAAAGTAAATATTCATTGCATTAGGCTGCCACTCGTTAAAAAAGTATAACTGAATATGACAAGCATATGGTAAGAATTTCATTTTGATTTTTATTTTATAACCTTTCAGCAAGTGAAACTTATCATTAGATCAAACAACTTATCCAATGTATACGTTGCATTAAACCAACTTCTAAGCATGCTAATGTTTTTATTAATTAAAGTAAGCATATAAAGGTATATGTTCATATTATGTTTGCCAAAAATTTTAGATATATTTGTTATCTAAATGCTAAGCCTTCTGTATTCTAACGTCTACATTTCCCTAGATTGCTAGAATAGGGTTTTAACATACGAAATTTACGGTGCAATGACTGAAATTTGTCCCTTTTATATTCCTAAGAGATGGATTTAGTGGATTCAAGCACTTTAAGCAGACTTTTGGCTGCAGCCCACCGTGCAGAAAGATAGATCCCATATCCTTCAATAATTGGATACACATATAAGTTGTATACACAATGTTAAAAGCATGCCGGTTTATAATAGGAAGGTTTTTCTAATAATGTTGTTACATTATTAGCGCAAGCTCTGTTTTAGAAAGTCACACCTTTTTACATTAGTTGGTGGGAAGCAAGAAATTAATTTTTCTCGTACCAACTTATATTAAAAATAATGTACTAATTTTTATCATTTAGTGATCATTGTGTCCCTGTTACCAGTGTATAGTCTTATACAAAACTTGAGAGTTAAAATTTTCATAAAAAGAAATGCAACCTTTCACGAATGGAATTGAAACAAATTAAAAAGTTGACAGTACAGGTGACGATTACTTAAGGGTGAAATACAATCATGGGGAGGAAATCCTTTACAAAATTTTCTTTTTTAACTTGAAAATTTACACTTGTTCTTAAAATAAATTTAGAATTATTTAGTGTGCGATAATATATTATATAGTTTGACATAAAAATTTGAAAAGTAAGTTTTCTTATTAAGTTTGTTCAGTAACCAAAGGAGGAGGAAGTACCTAAGAGTAAAGTAAACCTCGATGGTACGCAATAAGACACAATCATCTTCGTCATCCTCGTCAGGAAATAATAATGCAAGTGGAAGTACTAGCAGTAATAGTAGTACAAAATCTCCAATCCGGCAGAGCAATACGCACCGCAAAACCAGCAGCACTTGCAGTATAGCTTTAATTGATGACTCAACCAATAAGAAGACAACTTCCAATCGCCGCACTTCACCTGAAGAAGAAGATAGTGACATTGACGGTGATATTATCTCAACTCCTACTGGAAGAAGTCCGCAGTTTGGATCTGTCCACAAACAAAATCTATATATTGTTTCATTTCCCATTATATTTCTCTTCAATATTTTACGCTCGCTAATTTATCAGCTGTTCTGTATTTTTCGCTATTTGTATGGCAGCACAAAAGTGATCTATCGTCCCCACAAACGCGAGTGTAATATTGAAATTGTTGTAGGCACAAATACTTCAAACTCTAACGCGAAAGATAAACAATTGGTGCAAGCGCACAACTCAGCTTTAGTTAGTTACCCCTTAACGGACACCTTAGAGGGTACACATTCTCATAGATTTCGCCCACAGCTAGAAATGTCACACAAGGGTAACAGTGCTGGTCCGGGACCTGGTGACCCATTGTTGGCTAAGCAAAAACATCACCACAGACGCGCTTTTGAGTACATAAGCAAAGCATTAAAAATTGACGAAGAAAACGAAGGTACGCAACCATTTCTTTTGCTATATAAATTTTGTATAAAGCAACAACGGTACATTAGGTTTCTTAAATACAAATGTTTTACTGTTTTTTTTTTTTGCTAACTGTGTAGGGCATAAAGAGTTAGCCATTGAGTTATATCGTAAAGGAATCAAAGAACTGGAAGATGGTATTGCTGTGGACTGCTGGAGTGGTCGTGGTGATGTTTGGGATCGTGCACAGAGATTACATGATAAAATGCAAACCAATTTATCCATGGCACGAGATCGCTTGCATTTTCTAGGTAATTTTCTTAAGAATACTTAATTCATTTCTTAGTGTTTATATTTATGAAGTTGGCTTGCTCTGTGTTTAATATTGCTATATTTTTGTGTTCTTTTTTTTTTGTTATTTCTTATAATTTTTTTGTTTTTTTTGTTTTTGGTTTGTACTCATTTCCATTACCTGTGATGTCGTATAATTTTTACTGCGCAATTTGTATAAACAATTCAGAATTACACGAGGAACAGTTGCGTTTAGAGTCTTTGCAACTTGCCGAAAAAGCAGACGAAAAAAAAGATCCTGGTAAAAAGTCAGATAGCCCTAAAGTTAGCTCGCCAAACGTTCAAGTAGTGCAGCCAATGATATTAAATAAAACTCCGAATGCACAAACACAAACAAAGTCGCATTTTTCACGTCCAAATAATATTGTAAAAAAACGAAATATAGTTCCCATTGTCTCACGTTTAACTAAAACAACTGACGGCTCCGCGGGACCAACAGGTAAGATTATAAAACATATGGTAGATTCGCTTAATCTGATTGCAGTTTGCATACAAGACGCAAAAATATTCCTTTCATCACATTGGTTTTCTTTATTTATTATTTTTTGTAACGAATAATGTTTTGTGTTGCCTTAATCTGTCGCCAATAAAAAAGAAAACGCGTTGCACTGAAGAATAATTGCGTACATAAAACTATAAACACAGGCAGCTGCTTCAACATGTCTTCATAGTTCACAAATCACAAATCACAAATAGAATTAATCACTGCATGCAGTGCAAATATATAAAGTTTTAAAAATAAATTTTTATTTATGTAATCTATCATTTGCAGTTGATTATTATATTACTCTTAAATATTTGTTATATATTAGTGTATAACTATTTCTTATTGAAAATGAATTAAGTCATTATATAACTATTTTATAACAGCTTCTGGACGCAAACTCACTGTTGGTAATAAACGTCCTGGTAATTTAGCCGTTATCAATAAATCACAGACTTTGCCACGTAATTTGGGCTCTAAGACTACTACTGGTACTTTATCACAGCGTCAACCTTTAAAAACGGCAGCTACACCACCGGCAGTTCGCAGACAATTCGTAAGACTTAATAATTAAAATCTATTTTTATTACAATATTTTTCAACGCATATTTTTATTATATTATATTTGTTATTATATTACATTATATCTATTATTATGTTATATTATATCTATTATCATATAATATTAATTTATATTATTAATATGCTTATAGTCATCTGGTCGGAATACACCGCCACAGCGTTCACGTACTCCTGCAGGCAGTGGTCAAGCAAATAGTGGTGCAACTACTCCAGTAGTTAGCGTAAAAGGTGTAGAACAAAAACTAGTGCAAATAATAATGGATGAAATAGTTGAAGGTGGAGCAAAAGTGGAATGGTCTGATATAGCAGGTCAAGAAGTGGCTAAACAAGCGTTACAGGAGATGGTCATATTGCCTTCAGTACGTCCAGAATTATTTACAGGTAAACTCATGAATTTTTATTAATTTGTAATGTATATAAGTTAAATTTATTTATTTAAGGTTTACGTGCTCCAGCAAAGGGCTTACTGCTTTTTGGTCCACCGGGAAATGGAAAAACTTTATTGGCACGCGCTGTTGCCACAGAGTGCAGTGCTACTTTTTTTAATATTTCGGCTGCTTCGCTTACAAGCAAGTATGTGGGAGATGGTGAAAAACTTGTGCGTGCATTGTTTGCTGTGGCACGAGAAATGCAACCTTCCATTATTTTTATTGATGAAGTTGATTCATTACTATCGGAACGTAGTAATAACGAGCATGAAGCTTCCCGTCGTCTCAAAACGGAATTTCTTGTCGAATTTGATGGTCTTCCTGGTAATAATGAAGGTGACAGAATTGTTGTTTTGGCTGCTACAAATCGGCCACAAGAACTTGATGAAGCTGCCTTGCGGCGCTTCACTAAACGTGTTTATGTGTCACTGCCTGATTTAGATACGCGTGAACTTCTATTACGTCACTTGCTACAAAGGCAAGGTAGCCCTTTAGACACTGATGCGCTGCGTCGTTTAGCGAAATTAACTGAAGGCTATTCTGGATCCGATTTAACTGCATTAGCTAAAGACGCTGCTCTTGAGCCAATTCGCGAACTTAATGTTGAGGAAGTTAAAAATTTGGATATTAGTGCCATGCGTGCCATAACAGAAAATGATTTCCATAATTCACTTAAGCGTATACGTCGTTCTGTCGCTCCACAAAATTTAAATTCTTATGTAAAATGGTCTCAAGAATATGGCGATATAACTATTTAAGCAACAATTAAAGTTATATATTCTTTTCCTCGCTTCATTCAAATGGATATTATGATGTGAGTGCATTAGTTATTTTAGATTTGGTTCTCAAATTAGTCTTTCAGAATCATTATTATATGTAAAGTTTAATTTAGTTTTTCTTACATATAAGCAATCAAATTAATTATAATTATAATCAATGTTTAATTAGTTTAAAATATTTTGTAATATTTGATTAGGCTATTGATGCTGAAGAGAGTACGATAATATTTATTAAGCAGCATAATAGTGCTGCCTTTGATACACCTTCTTCATCATTAATCAAAGCCAATCTGATTTTTTTTCTATAATAAACTAGACGCATATTTAATCGTTCGTCATTATTATCGTTTATTTAATTATAAAGCAAAGACATGTAATATACTCGTTCTCATAGTTTTTAATACCAGTCAGATGTCTTATTGAACATTTTAACCATAAATTTTATTTCTCAAATTATATATATCTTAGATATTTGTACGTTTTGTTGTGAAATTATTTACACAATTAAAATTTTTATATCATTGTTTTTTATGCCAGTTTTTTATGTTTAAGTATTATATTTTATTATGTTGTAAGTGAAATATTTTCATTCCATTGTATTGTTTAAAATTATTGTTAACACCATTAAATAAAAAGTAATTTCAAAATGTTTCTTCCCAGCACTTTTTTTACTTTTTTACTTTTTATAATTTGATATATTTTTTTGAATAAGATCGTTTGTTCTAATTATTTTATTTTAAGTTATTTATGACATTAACATATATATTTTTTTTCATAATTTTCAAAGGAAAAAGTATATTTTGACGAATAAGAATTAATTTGTAAATAACTGCTTTTTGTCTTGACCCTAACAAATAGTTCCGGGATTCGACCTGACGCAGCACCATTGTTCATATGCCTCTACTAACGTTTGAAATTCTTTTTCGAGGCCTGTTCACGACCTTTATTCAGTGCTAAACTGCGCACAATTTAAAATTCTAGGAATGAACTTAGTATATGTATTATTAGTTCTTTACTCAACGCCTGTGTGTGTGCCAAGTAACTACCCAGGTGTGCTACGTTGAGGATGTGCGACAATTTGGGTTGAGCACGACAAGAAGTGCGCTGACTTCTAACTTATCGCGAGTATCTTAATTTTTAAATTTAAGCTTATCGTTAACGAGCTATTTAGTTCCTTTGTGAGCTTGACTTATAATGTAATGCAGTTTTATATTATGTGATTATTTCGGTAATCTTTGCTACCCTTTTACATACAGTACTATATTATTTCATATATTTCACAATTTTATGGTGGAACTGCACTTAGTAAATTAATTATTAAAACTAGACATGATCCTATTAACTACCAAGTATTAGAGAACCCTGATAACTGTAGAGTTGAATATGCACCCATATTATCTGCTCATGTCTCCAGATCGACTTTCATTAAACCGAATGAGTTCTGAAGCCGAGGCATATCATTAAATTAATTATTAACTTTATTTGTCCACGCTAGGAACAACACAATAGATTGCAAATATATATCGCAGCGTACCATTATCTTTTTCTTTTTATTAATTTTATTTAATTATTCTAATATTGTTTGTTTAATAAAATTTTTTATTTGTTTTGTATTTTATTTAATATAATACTTTAGTAATAAAGTAACATTTTTCACACACATGTATGCAATAAAACATTAGCCATAGCATCATATCTTTGTAAATGTTATTATTGTAATATCCTATACATAACATAAAACTTATATATGTTATCAGTTACTCATTTGATTGTCAATAATAGTCAACTACTAGTTTAATTAATTTAATATTATTTGATTTTAAAAAGTATATTTAATAAAAATATTAAACATTATTTTAAGAGTATTGTCTTGAAAGTTTCCAATCTAAACTATATCGTGCGACTCATCGAAACTTTTACCATGGCAGGTTTAACAAATGGATATATTCTAAAACATATAGTTACTTTTGAACATAAAACCAAATGAAGCATAGTTTACAAAGCATTTTACTGCATCGAAAAAGGGGAATATCCATTAAATTTCTATCACTTATTGTACTTCTTCGCAGCACTAAAAAATGACTGAATGAGAAAAAAGTAGTCTGACAAATATATCAATACTGTGATTGCCAAGATTTATTAAATTTAAAACAGATACGCTTCTATTTTTTACTGCCTTTCATTATATAAAGGTTCCTAGGGCGATTGAGTCGATCAGATCGGACAATCGTATCTAGCACAGCACATCCCTTTGATTACGGAATCAAAAGGCCAGTTATCTGTATAACAGCAACAACATATTTGGGTTATGCTAGTTTCGTATTAGTAATCCAGCGAGGATGGTGGAACTAGTACTCTTCACGCTTCGCACTTTCAATTGATATGATAGTGCGTGTTTACTGATAATTTGCTATAAATTAGGTGTTCCATATTTGAAACGAGCTTCTAATAAATATTCTAATAAAATTTACTAACAGATAGAAAAAGTATTTATAACAATTTTCTAGTTTCTGATTAAAATGCAAAACTTTTAAAATGAATTGAAGAAGCACCGGAATTAAAATATTTAAAATGTGAGCTGGAAGGTCGGAAATGTTTGCTTTTGTTTTAGTGTAATTATCTAGTTAACCCTATGCTTGAACTAAGAAACAAATTTATTTACTTGAAAGTTACATACATGTACATATGTATATGTATTTAGTATTTCAAGAAAATCATTTGGTATTAATTTATTTTTACAAAATAACTGAATTTTATAATGGATATCTAGTTATCAATTTGATTTCGATATGTAGAATTATTATTGATACTAGAGAAATCGAGAACATAAGTAATAGCCCATATCTTTCGTCGTTTGTCCTTTTCTGATAAGTGAATCACATCAATGAATAGATTTTGTAAATATCACGATCAATTGATCTGAGTTAGACTTTAAACCGAAGAACAGATGAAAGTCTAGACCCACAGTTACAATATATTGCAACAAATGTGCAATATGAATAATCACCAAATTTTACATCTGAATTTATGTAATGAGTTCTTTTAAGTTGTAGTTTGGAACACTAAGAAAGCTATAAACAGTGAACACTTTAGTCGACATAGCTACGTACATATGTATGTATATACGTGTCAGTTGTGAAATAGTAGAGCTTTATATAATTAATAACTCCAATATATATTTTATTTAATCAATCTTGTTTAATAATTTTATTCTAGTCCTATTAAATAATATTGAATAATACTGAAGTTGTGTGTTTAAGTAATCAATAGAACCTTAAATGACAAGTTGTCTTAGTTCTTTAGAGTAATCTCAAGTTATTTTTGTTAATAAATTACTATTTTTTGTTATTAAGTAATATGTAATATTTTAATGAGTATCGACCGTAGTTAATGTTGATAGATTTGATTATTACAAAAAATTATTAGAATTTAGATCTATCGATTTCATATTAAATTATATTACACATTTCTATTATATATACACGTATATATATATATATATATATATATATATATATATATATTATAATATATATATATATATATATATATATATATATATATATACTGACTTTTGTACAAATGATGTAAATATTTGTGGTAGTAATTTGAATTTAAAACATTTAACTTTTAACTCTGATCTACAGATGCATTTCATTTTAATAATCTTGATAAATTCTTTCGACGGTTCAAGTTATTGTGTTAATGAGAAACAAATTTCTAAGACTTTCTAGTATTAAAAATTAAATTAATCTTTATTTACGCTTTTTGTCGATTTTTAAAAACTGAAATTATATTATATATATATATATATATATATAGGTTGCTTTGTATACCATCCTTCCTTCCTTTAACTTCCTGAGATGATTTCTAAATCTAAAAAAGGAAAAAAAAACATATTGGTTTGGTGTTTTATTTTTAATATTTACCGAGATATATGATATGTACCCGAAAAAAAACAGTCAAATAATTTTTAATGTCTCAATAATGGATAAAAACAGCTTAAAATATATACTAACTTTTAGTTCACTTAATATTATTTAAATATGATGGTTAATATGTCACTTGAGTTTGGAAATTATGACGGAATGTTGATTTTTCCAGAAAACCTCATTATTATCATATTTTTTGTAATATCTATTATCCAACGTACTCCGACGTTTGAAAGTTGTCTTGTGTTGGAAGATAGTAGAGATAAAATATATGATTTTTTCAATAACATATACGGCAAAAGAACTTCCTTTATCTTACAGTTTGAAGTCTCGTCATTCTGATTTATTATTTTTTTTTCCTCGTTTTAGTCTTTTAAAATCATTTTTTCTACTTTAAACTCAGATTAGCAATAGTTAAACAGGTTTAAGTATATTAAATATGAAATCTGATAGCAAATCTTCACTCTTTTCTTCACTGGCCACTGAGGAGATGTATCAATATACCAACTGCTTTATAGTGCTACATTTGAAAACTGATTACTTGGCATATTTTTATTAACTAAATTTCCTCAATCTCTTCATAATAACTATTTTCTTACCATTGTGTACTTATTCACTATCTCTACAGTCAACTTAGATAGATTTATTATTGGTCTGAAAGTATCTATTTGATTTATAATTACCTATTTGATAATAATTACACTTTATAAATCGCAGTATTTGGCTGCAATGAAAATCTAAGTTTTTTGTCTGAAGTGCTCTTTAGCAATGCTGTTTTGCGAAGCTAAAAGAACCTACAGTACAGAAGACACGAATGGATTCCATTCGAGTACACCGGTAAGAATAGTATCTAGAAAGGATTTAATTAGTGTGTGGTTAGTGGTATAAGAACAGATGGGAAAAATCATAAAGATATAAGTACAATAAATAAGAACTTGCACTCCTACGAGTCCTCATAAGTCTTTCTTAAAGAACACTGCTAATAATATACATTTATATTTTGACCTTCCTTTATTTAAAGTTTATGAATTGTGTTAAAGATTCATTCACTTCTTTTCTCTTCATATAATATATATTTTATTATTTACCACTTAAATCATGGAGATGAGGTGTATAATTTAAAATGTATATTCTTTCCATTGGAATTATCGCTTTGAAATGCTTCATAAGCATCATTAACACCACTTCGAACGCAGTAACAACTTAATTACAATTTATTTCTGGGGTAATTAGTCTCTTTGACAATTTATTTAATGCGCGCCATATAATCTGGTTTTTCTAAATGTTAATTCCAATCACTTGTTATCCATTCCATTATCTATAAAATTGATTTAAGTTTATGTTGAATGAACATAAGAGACTTCAATTTTCCGAGGTTTATTTATGTTAACCTCGATGTACAAAAAAACCTAATCGTGTACCACTGTTAATTACAGCTTTGCTTTTTTAGTGAATAATCTTTCAAACGTTCCTTCTGTTCGTATCAAATTTGTGCGCAGGGCAAGATTAACCAGTGCAGTT